CCGCCTAGTCACGTAGAGGAAACGAACAGCCATATTTCTCTTAAATAGCATGTAGCAGAGGGAACGATTTCACGATGGAATCGAGCAGGCATCGGTATCTGCAATGGCGATGACAGAGGGAACGATCGAGTATGAGCACTCCTGGGGACACCTAGTACTCGAGTGCGATATTATTGGTTGTCTGTGAAAGGTTTCTAAATGTTATAGACCGAACGGCGAATCGGAAATTGGAAATCGATGCATTGCTGTCATATTTCTGATTTCCAAATTCCAGCTTCGAAGAACTTATAGAATGACGGTCATTCTATAAGTTTTTCGAAGTCATTCAATGACCCTGAGCAGTGGCGAAAACCTTACTCCAAATTTCCCTGCGTCGTGGAAAATCAGACCGGCTGAGAGTGGAGCGGAATCTCCGAGCTAGATTGTTTTCCGTTGTTTTCAGCCACGTTTTTGGTGCATGGACGTGGTTTCCGACACCATCAGGCAGCGATTGGTTACTCATAATCGCGTGAGGTCCATGTGAAGCTCTTTTTTCATTTATATTGTTTGAAATTCACTCCGAACTAAAGGGGGGTGCTGAAGACGTCGGACAAAAACCTCAATATTAAAAGGAAAAAGTACTTCTAATTGTCAAACAATCACCGTTTTTTATGTTTTGCGACGGGGACACTGTCAGCCCGTCGTCCAGTGGGACTTGGCCAAAACAACCACGGACACACAAGACGAGTGAGATTGAAGCACGCGGACACTTTTGCGCCCCAACCGAGCACAAAGATCGGAAATGCAAGCACATTTTCCTCATACAACATTATTTTTTGGAAACAAAATTATTCGCCACGTCACCGATCCCACATCAAACCCGTCACTTTGCTCAAAAATTGTGCCCATTTCGAAACGTCTTCTGCTTCCTCATAATTACCATACGACGTGCGATGGCTCTCCGCTCTCGAAGCGACCTCACTCGCTTCTTAAACACCCCAATTGTCATGCCAGCAAGTTCCGCTCGCTTCGCCCATCGCGCATTACGAAAGTTTACTGCTTCCGCCTGTGCCCTTTCTGTGCGACGAGCTTTCCGCAAAGACAGTTCTGCAGCCTTTGCTGCTTCCGTCAGCTTGCGCCGCTCATCATTGCGGTATTTCTCTCTCGCTAAATTTCATAGCATTAAATGATGTCAGCATCTGACCTCTAGTCGTATCAACAAAACCACTATGACTCAGGTTCACATCAGAACCCAAAACTGAATGACGTATTTCTGTTCGCCGCACTTCCAGCAATTGCTCCAGCTCCGTCACTGACATCATCACCTGGTGCATATGGCTCTGAGGGCGTGGAATAGATAGAAGCTGATGCGCATCTAATGGCCATATACCAGAACGGCGAAACGCAGAGATAATATTACTGTTCGTAAACGCTTTTTTGTAGGCGTACCTCAACATGCTGGAAAATGCGAATGCGTCCCAGTTGTTTTGTTCATCCTTTGCCACGGCCAAATTTATAGCGTCGTTCAAAGCACCCTTAAAAGGAGAAAAAATTGTCACATCCAAAGGTTGTGTTTTGCCTGATGTGTGGGCGGGTAGTGCATAAACGATAACATCATTATAGTCCAACATCTCAAGAGCTGCAAGAGACATGTGTGACCGATACCCATCCAGTATCAGCAACACTTTACGGCCACCTCTAGTCAGATCCCTCACGTTCGAGATAAAATGCCTGCACCATTCTAAGAATTTTTTTGTATCGACGCCACCGCCTTCGGACCTCATTGATACGATTGACCCTCGAGGCAAGCAATCAGCGTATGTCTGCACAGCTTTCATGCCGTCTTGAACCACAACACGGTATGGAAGCCGCGAGCCTTTAAATACAAACATCGGTGGCACTGTCTCACCGTCTGCGCTCACCGCTGGAAGCATTGTCACCCTGTTTGTGCTCAGAAAATTTCCGATTTTGGCGTCGCGCGCCCCCGCTCTGGTGACATATACACGTGAAGTCTGCTTTCCATTTGCATCTCGCCCGGGTGTTGCGCCTGTTTCGTCACAGTTCCAGATCCTTGGGCTGTCGATGTTGTGCTCTTGAATAATTTTTTCAAGACGAGCAAAATGTGTCGTTAAAGCGTCACCGTTACATGCATGAAATCGAACGGCTTCTTCCCTCAGTGGCTTGGAGAACAGTATCTTGTCCCTGTGGCGGCGATGAAAGTTACGTAGATATCTTGTTCCCGTTGTCCCTCCCTTAAACTTGAGCACGAGGCGACGTGCAGGAGTCATACGACTTATGATAATTTCGATTGCTTCTTCGACAAGTCTCCGCGTTAAAGGTAATCCACGTTCAGCAGAGCGAGTTATGAGATTAAGCACAAGGTCTTCCTCAACTGATGTGAGTGTGCGGAGACCAGCTCGGATTTTTCGAATTCGTTGCGAGGAGGGAGAGGCAGCTTGTATGCGGCTTGCAATTGTGGATCTGGGGATTTGGTGTCGTTCTACTGCTTGCCTGTAGGTTTGGCCATCTGTGACCATTTTCATTGCAGCCATAATGCGCTGTTCACGCGAAGCAGGCGGCATTTTTCATTCGCGAGATGCCAAAAGTGGTCCAGAAGGGCAGGTATAGAAGTTGGAAGTAGTGGCGTTTATGTGTATATCGGAATGCTGTGAATTGAGTTGACAGTGAGTTGGAATAGGTCGAAGGGATACCGGACGAGAATTTGAAAAGTCCGCCTGTTTTGTGTGCTTTGGCAGTTACACTCCTATACGTAAAACGCTGTGCGCAATCGATTGGGATATTTGTTTTTTAATTTCATCCACTTCGTTATGAGATACAGCGCACTTTCTAGCGCTGTTAGGCTGCCGTGCCGCACTTTGGCCCGTGTCGAAGATGTTTCTTACAAATATTTTGCATGTCCGAACTTTTTGTCACTGTCGGACAACACCGGCAACCCCCTTTTACCCTCGCGGGGAAGGGTAGGTAACCGTTCGGAGCCTAATTCGTATTGTTTTCTGTTTCCGACACTAAGCTGGATAGAATTAAACAAAAAATACCATTTCTTTAACGATTTGGACACTTTTTAAAGTTTAAAGATTTGAGCGTATCTTCGAACGAAAGCGCATCTGTGGAACCAACAGTCGACTTTGGATATAGGCACCCGCTCTGACAACATGTCAACTAAAAACATTCAAATAGAGCCTGTTTAATGATATTTACCTAATTCGTATTTCTGGTGCATTCAAAAGAAAGCGACGTGGTTCTCTCAAAACCACCCTTCCACGTAGTTTTTCATCTTTAAACATCAATCGGCACAAGTCCTTCCATCGTCCTCTCAGCACGACAACGCAACGAGCTATGAGGTCCGGACAACGCGACTAGATACAGTACACCTGATCACAGCAATTAACCTTGGTCTATATATTAACCTGGGTTCAGAAATAAACTGGACCAGGTTATTATTGGTTTTGACCTGGAGGAAACAGTCTTATGATGAGTCGCATTTAGAGTTCCAAAAGGGCGAGAACGCATGTCGCCGCCTCGATATGGTCTTTGGGAAGAGAAGCAGCTCTTTTCTGAGCTGCAGACAATAATATCCAAGCATCGTGTCCATTTCAATGGGCAAGAAGTGGAGCCGTAATTTCTTGAATACTTGTCAGCAATGTTAGAAATCAAGGTTAATCCAGTGGTTCACAAATAAACTGGACCATGTTATATCTGATTTGACCATATATTAATCTGGGTTCACAATTAATCCGGACCATGTTAAATATGGTTATAGACCTGAAAAAGGGGCTTCAGAATTAAGTTGGCCCAGGTTAATTGCTGTGATCAGTGTACATGCATATATTTCGCGAAATGTTCACTCCATTCTTGACAAACACGAACATCATGAATCACCGCGACTACTGTACAGTAGAGGAAGCCCTCCTACTTTCACGCTCTTTCTTAGTGGCATTTTAGTCTGTAGAAGTCACTTGGCTTTGCCCACGTACGTTCCGTGTGCGCCACCCTGCTGTCACCTGCGACATTGTTGTATGGCGGATCTAGACATCCGCCATACAACAATGTCGCAGGCATCAAGAGCTGCACTAAAAGCCCTCGCGATACTGGAGTGCGAACGATTGTACTCACAATCAGGGGGAAATTCGCTTCACAGACGTATTCGTGTGTCTCGGGTTTGTCCACACTGTTTGACATACAGCGGGCGAAGTGGATATCTCAAATCAAATGAGGAAGCCAATTCTTGCGACATGTTTTATTGTTTGTCAAAAATTGCGCTTCCCAATCATACCACGCGTAGAGAATCTGGCCGGGGATATATGAATATGGGAAATTCGAGACCATCAATTGTTCAGGAAGCAAACAGGATATATCCAATCGGATATATCCTGTTTGCTTCCTGAACGTACAGTAGTACAGTACAGTAGTACAGTATGGCATGGTGCGGCTATAGATCTGCGCATTAAAACTAAGACCAAACGCGCACACGCGACGTGCCGGTTTCCACGACGTACGCCCTTGGTCGTGCTTGCTGCCCGTGGCAAACTTGCATCCAAAATGGGAAAGTCCTAACTTTGCAACATCGAGACTGTTGCAGCAGCTCAATTAAATCACTCGCGTATCTTGTACGGCGACGCCGTGCACAGCTTCTTGAAGTCGTCGGGTACTGTATATAAAGGATGAAGCTCAAGATAGAAAGGGTACCACGAATCATTCTCCTATCATCTCTCAGACGCCCGCGCTGCGCTCCCTCAAGCGACCTTTGAATCATTCCAAAGTAAACAAGAAGCAAGGCATCAACATATTCAGAAAAACTCGCCGCCGGCTTCGAAGGAGACATGACGCAAGTAGTACGTCAAGGCGATGGAGACGCTCTTGTTGGTTACTACGCTTGGACATGGGCAAGCACACCTGGCCTTTCTGACGCGACCATGTCCGTTGCTTTTAGCGGATGGACAGATGTGCAGAACGCGTTGAGAGACAGCGGGAATGTGTACGACTCGTTGAAGGGGGCAAAGTACATCTCGTTTGGAGGGGGAAACGAAAATGGAAAATTCACACAGGCCGGCATTACAGGCATCGATTCGGCAATCACCGGTGGACAGCTATCTGGCTATTCCGGAATTGTGTACGACGTTGAGGGGGGGGACAGTGGTCTTGCTGATGCTTTTGCCAATTCGTTTGCTCTAGCTAAATCAAATGGGTTTTCAGTTGTCGTGACTGTGAGCCACTCCGCGCCGTACGCAATCGCGGATGCCCCCACCCTGATGGGCTCGTTCTTATCTTCATCTAACATCGACTACATCTCCCCGCAGTTGTACACGAGCGGAACGGAAACGTCAAACGATTACGAGATTTCCAGCTCCAGCGAGTATGGATGGGAATATGGATGGGAAAACTACCAGACTTCCACCCCAGCCGTGGTGGTCTCCATCGTTCAAGCTAGCTTCTACGATGATGCCTGCACATATTTCAAGAACATCGGGATTCCGTTGAGTGGGTACATCCAATGGGCGCAGTGATATTTTAGCGATATGCCTCTGAGGCTGTTGCAGCCCTTCACTTCCTTCATGTGCACACCGTAATCTGATAGTACAATGCGGGCAATTACAGTATATACAGAGAATCCGTACCCTCTCGGATAGGATATTGGGTACGATGCGTAGCGTCGTACAATATATTTGTTCCAATTTGGTTCTGATCCAGTCGACCAGCATTTGTAAACGGGGAGAGAAAAGAAAGGTTTACGTTACTGATATGAAGATCCTGGTGTCTGTGTATTAGACCGTTGTTCTCATATGCGGACAGTTTTCGACATATTTTTTTCTTGACTTGCACTTTCTCCACAAGAAAGAAAAAGATACCCCCGCTACTGAACTTGACTAGCGCTGTGAGTCCAGAAAGAAGTTTGCTCGAATTGCATGTTCTTCCCGGTCGTTTTTAGATATATGTCTGGAAAAGAAGCTTTTATAAGCCACCTTTAAACTGCATGAAAAAATACTTGGAAACCAAAAACGTCAGTTTAAAAAGGGAATTACAATAGTCACTCAACCTGCATTACATTCTTAATCTTTCAGGGTGATCAAAACTGCTATCCCAGTGTTCTGCAAGATGTTATTGCTGCAAACAAGCACATTAAGCAATGTAAGGAAATAGTGTCCATGATAGGTTTTTAAATTGGCGGTTTATTTTATATATTTTTGCAAAAAAGGGCTGTCCTCGTCGGAAAGACACTATAGCTGCCTCGAGAGGTACAGTAGACGACAAGCCAGTTGCCTCTTATGAGGTCAGGCATGGCACCCTATGAGATCAGCTGCTTTTGCAAAAGTAGATGCATTAAATCGAAACTTTGCAAGTCAATTTGGACACCATTTCTTTAACGTACATGCCCTCGACAATAACATCTTGCAAAACATTAGGATAGCTGTTGTGAATAGACTGAAAGTCTAATAATGCAATGAAGTTGAATACCCGGTTGACATTTTAAGCAAGCGTTTCGGTTTCGAAGACATCAACACACAACGTTGTGAAGTTGGTCGAAAAGGGGGTTTTTTAGGCATTCTAAAAATGGCTGGAAAAGACATGCAGATCTCACCAAACTCCATCCTTGCGCAACGCAGAAGTCAAGTGCGGTGGCGAGAGTATATTTTTTTCTTGTTGTTGAGCAAGCACAAGTCGAGCGAATATAGGTTAAAAAGTAGCCTCATACATACAAGGTCACTTGTCGTCTAGATATGTCTTGTAGACACTAGCACTACTGTACTGTTAGAAGATCTGGATTCTGAACTAGATGCAAAACATATGAGGCCTGGCGGGAGTCCCAAGGCTATGCTTGTCCCGTGAGAATTGCGGGTGGCAGGGGAGGCGCGGACGCGGGAGAGTGGGACGGAGGGAAGTGTGGGCGCAACGGACAGGGTGAGCAGGGGTCCCCCAAAGGGGAGAGCGGGAGCGGTAGGGAATGGCAGGAAATGGAGGGCGCGCAGATGGAGGGAAGCGAAGCGGAAGTGGAGCGGTACGAGTGGGCGAGTAGTGGACGCGCTGACGGGGCGAGGGAAGTGCAAGTAGGGGCGGCAGATGGTGCATTCGTTGGCGGGCGTCGGAGCGAAAAGAGGATGGAGGGTAAGGCGCGCAAGGAGACACTGTCGGCACGAAGCGAAAGGAGTAGGGAAGAGGGAGTTAGGGAGAAAAGAAGGAGGCAGACATGAGGGGAGGAGAGAGGGAGGATGGAACGGGGTAGCTAGGGGAAAAAGGACGGTAGGTGGATTCCTAAGGTGATCGAGTGGACTCTCGAGCAAGGTCGGCCAAAGTCGAGTTTTGAGTCCAATAAACGACCTGGCTTTCTCTATGACAAGGGGTGAGTGCTCACAACACTGCTGTATTGTAGCTGTGAAGAAAAGGATAGATAAAGTTTTGGCAAAACGCTCGAGTGGTTGATGGAAATGATTGTGACAGTTGGAGGCAAAATGGAAGAAGACGCAAGCTGTACAGCACTTTGTTAGCGTGTTAGGAAAGCGGAGGAAGGTTGATGGGTGGGAACGTCATGCTCTTCCCAGCGGAACACTGACAGAATGGGAGTTGCATCTGAGAACAACAATACGGGTGAGATTGAATTGTAAACAATACACACGGATACGTTTTCTGTGGCTGGAGCACAGATACAGTACCGTTGGGTACTGTACCGTGCGGCACTAGCGTATTGGTACGGCAAGGACACTGTGGTGGCCCACCACTTCACGTCCAGCACGCCCACCACTGGTGGGCGTGCTGGGCGTGAAGTGTTTTTGCGGGACGTTGTGCAGTATGGATGCGGGACGCAAAGGGGCTACGGGGGGTGGGAACTTCCC